TCAAAAAGACAATATTGACAATGTCTACTGCGAATTGTAGGGATGAGTTGAGTGATATAGGTGAAATTTTGCAATATCAGAAACTTTCAAAGCAGTCAAGGCCCATTGAAATCGGACGTGACACGAAAACACTTTGTGTATGCTGTCTGTATTTTTTTATTTTACTTTTTTGTCTGTCTGTTGTTTTTCTTTCTGTGAAAAACAAATTAAAAGAATAAAAAGAAAAAGAAGTGGGTGTGGCAAAAAAGCAGATCCCAGATAGGTTTAAGATGTTTATTTATGTGCATTTTTATATGAACCAAACAAGGAACAAAACTTTGCCAGCACAGAACTTTACATGACATTTACATACCAGACACACCCCATTCATTTTGCACTTTTACAAAATGCTGAGGATCATCATCGTGGCGCAGCCTGTCAGAATGCAAACCCGGAATGAAGACGGGTGAAGATGGATGCCTCTAGAGTGGTGACAGCGAGCCGCTGGCAAGCTTCGTTTTCAGGTAAGTTGTTCATAATGTGCTAGTACACGATGCATACTGTAACATTATGTCTTTACCTTGCAGGGGACTTTTTTAAAATCTTTATAATGGACCTGGTTTACTATGGCTTTAAAGCGGTATTAAACTCAAAACTAAAAATGTAATATATTGCAACTTACCAATCATAAGATGTGGTGGCTGCATTACTTTTCTTTTCTTAGGCACCCCTTAAGTTTTTTTTTCAGCAAAATCCTATGAAAGAAGCATTTGGCAAAAAATGACTGGTGCCTTATGTGGACCCTGCTATTGCCTGCCTTATTCAACCTGGGTTCACATACGTGCGGCTTTGTATATCGCATGTGATTCGCACAGGAACCGCACTCCTGTATAAATCACATGCGATTTGTATGCGGTGCGATCTGAGCTATACGTTTTGTATGGCTCTATTCACACTGCACCCGTACCAAAAACATGCAGGACCCTTTTCTGGATCCACACTAGAATCGGATTGCATAGGTATTCACACCTATGCATCTGATTCTTCACATCGCACCGCATTTTGCAAACCGCTTTAGGGGTGTTGTTAACATACACATCCGCAGTGGTTCGCATGAACGGGGTGCGATTCTGATGCGGTGCGGAATTCGCATGAGCGGGGTGCGATTCTGATGCGGTGCGGAATTCGCATGAGCGGGGTGCGATTCTGATGCGATGCGGAATTTGCACTGAAAACGCTGTGAATTCCGCACTGCATCAGTGTGAACCAGGGCTAAGTCTGTGAAGCATCCAGTCTTTAGAGACATTGTAGCCAAGAGATTTGAACCACTCTTCAAGGTTTCTTTGTCGCACATAGGAAAGCCCACTGAAATGAACTGCCTATATATATGGGGCAAAAACAAAGTGCAAATGTGCGCATATTTACAAAAAGCAGAATGTGAATACAGCCTAAGAGTAGCCCACAGGTCGCATTATGTGCAAAGCACAGCAAACCATCTCTGTAAATGTGTCTGGACACCTTTTTTTTCTGTTGAGCTAATGCTGCCACCCAGTGTTTATCTTCAGTCTTTCCATCATTCTAATGATTCCGTATATCCTTGTATGTGTTCTTTATGTCATGTTTGTTTCACACATGTGATATATAATAGTTTTATACTTGTTTTAGTATCATTACTTCAGAGGTGTAGAAGTTAACAGAAACCCTTGTCAATCAGGGGATGTAGCTCAGTGGTAGAGCGCACGCTTCGCATGTGTGAGGCCCCGGGTTCAATCCCCGGCATCTCCACTTTATTTGTGTTTTTTAACCACTTCCATACCAGACACCTCCCCCCCCCTTTCAGGCAAATGTTTAGCTTTCAGCGCTGTCACACCTTGAATGACAATTGCACAGTCATGCAACATGGCATGCAAATTACATTTTTTAGAATTTTTTCACTCAAATAGAGCCTTCTTTTGGTGATCTTTGATCACGAAAGAAGACTTTATTTGTGTGAAAAAAATGATAAAAATGTAATCAATCAAATTTCCCTTTTCAAGCTAAAATCCCCCTATTTAGCACTAATCCTCTTCTCCTTCCCCCCTACTGTCAAACCCTCATCCCCAGCATTAATGTTGTATACTCTGCCCACCCCCCAAGGTCCCCAGTATAATCCTCTCCTCCCTTCAACATACAGACCTCACATTCAGTTCTGCCTCTGGCCTCCCCCTCATCTTGCAGGCTGCTCCTGAGCTCCACCTCCTCTTGCAGGTCACAGATGAGGCGGAGCCTAGGGGAAGCAGCATTGCAATATTTTTGACAGGCAAGGGATCACGAAACTGGGGACCCATGCTAGTGATGGCATTGGCTGTCAGATTGGGAATTTATAGGGTTTGGTTACCCGCCCCTATCCACATTCTTTGCTGGGAGGAGATGAGGGCAAGTAAACAAACCATGCACATTCCCAATCTGACAGTTCCATGAGTGCTGCAGTGGCATGAGTGTGGAGCTAGAGGGGAGAGAGAGCACAGCCGACTCCCAGACCTCTCGAAAGATTTAACCTGTCTCTTTCTGTGCTAAGCTGACAGGAGTAGTAATGTTGCTGTCACTACTTCTGTCAGCTTGTAACATCAGGAACTCCCTTTCAGCCCCCCACAGCACATAATATGCGCCCAGGGCAGCCGTCCTTCCTTGCCCCTCCTTGTCCCCCAGCCCTGGTCTGGTGCCATAACTGATTGCATTTGCAGCACCAAGGCAGTTGAAAATCAAATAGCCTAAGATGGCTGAAAAGGAAATGGGGGTTTAGTTTGGCTTAATTTTGTAGTATTTTTAAAGGGGTAGTAAACACTGCTGTCCTTATCAGCCAAGGAAGCTGCCATCTTAGCCTCTCTTTGTTCTGCAACTGCCATGGTGCTGCACATGTGATCACTATGTCACCAGCCATTAGATGATTTGACAGCTTGGTTGAGAACACAAGCTAATGTGACAGTTAGCATTTCCAGAAATGCCTTAAATAAAAACTAATTTTGAAATTGTTAAATCGATGGGTATATTTCCACCTTTAGCCAAGGATCACACCAATGAGGTGGGAAATGCTGAGATTCCTGTGCGTTTCCTGCACCACATTGCAATCGCATTGCAATTTATCATTGATAAATTAATGACACCCCTTATTAGCACCTTATATATAGCACAGACATATTTTTTTTTTAAAGCAGAGACCCTGAAAAATAAAATGGTGGTTGTTGCACTTTTTTTATGTTGCATAATATTTGTGCAGCCATTTTAAAACTCATATTTTCAGGAACAATGAATACACTTGAATGAATTTTAGTGCACACACACACTATAATACCCATATTTCTGGTAAAAAATATCCCAGTGGGATGAGAGAGATGGGGGGACATTACTGCTCTGTGAAGACAAAAGCTAAGCACTGGTGATGGAGAGGATCTTATTTTAAGAGTTTTTAATGTTATATAATATCAATACATATACTCATTGTATATACAATTTAGAGCATCCTTAAACATATAGATAAGAAGACGAGGTGGCCGAGTGGTTAAGGCGATGGACTGCTAATCCATTGTGCTCTGCACGCATGGGTTCAAATCCCATCCTTGTCGGGTAGTTTTTCACCTTTATAGCCACCAGAATGTGACCTCAATTCATTTAAATCTTCATGCAGTTCTACATCTAAATGTAACAGGATAGAAACGAAATAGACCATCAAAAGTTGACATAACAAAACCAGCAACAGTTGCGTTAATCTGTGTCTTTTTTATCTGCCTATGTTTCAGATTTAGAAGACTTTACTGTAATTATTATTATTATTAATTAATTTTATTAATAATTAATTTTTTAAATATTTTAATATTATTAATAATTCATATTCAGTATTAACATAATAGAAAACTTTACCTGAGAGTAACTTTTGAGATGGCTCTGATCATGCATATTTTTTTTTCTATTAGATTATTTCCGTACAATTACTGTTCACATTAAACAAAACAGACATTGTGTTCACAAAGGATACAAATTTTCTAGTTTGCATCATTGGTTTTTGTTGTCTGAAAAGTCAGAATTGGCTATATTAACAATCAGATCATTGGCCGATCTTTCCTCGTATAAAATTTTTTTATGATTTTCTTATCGTGTGTGCAGGCCATTAGGCCATGGAGGCAAAAATATGAGATTGAGGTGCATTTTTAACTCGGCCTTTGCCACCTGTCAAAACCAAACAACGGCTGTTGGGCACCCCCATACCAGGGGCGTATTTGCCGCGAGGCAAACAAGGCATTTACCTAGGGCAGCACTTTTTAGGGGTGTCGCCGCCGCCCCCCTTCCAATGGAAGGGACATTTAGTACAGGGGCAGGCAGGGGGCTGCTGTGTCTTACCTGGTTCCGGTCCCAGTCCCACGACAATTCAGTCCAGGAAGCGCTGCTGGAGGAGGGGTAGAGAGGTCCACAGGTCCAGTGCCTAGACGCGATGTGTGGGCGTAGGATGACACCTTCTGCAAACTCCGCCTCCTCACCTGTGATTGGGTGCCAGAACTGTAGCTCAGGAAAGGCACACAGGCGGCCAATCACCTGCGAGGAGGCGGAGCCGAGCGGCAGTGTGAACATCGAGTGAGGGAGCGGCCAGAGTGAATGAAGGAGGACAGCTGACCGCTCTCTTTTCTGTCCTGTTTTATTAATATGTGGAAAATTATTTTTTTCTTGTTCTACGCTTTATGATTACAGCCATGCTGGCCCCTGCGTGGGCCACTATTGTCATTTACAAAATGTATGTGTCTGCCTCATTTGCTTATGTTACACTTTATGGTTTGTTTCTCTCTGCTATACTTGTACAATATTGCCTTCAATACAGCTCTTTTGGTACCAGAAAATGAAGTACCGTATTTTTCGCTCCATAAGACGCACCTGACCATAAGACGCACCTAGGTTTTAGAGGTGAAAAACAAGTATTCTGAACCAATGGACTGCAGACATAGTACAGGGGATGACCAGAGACTGCGGACACAGTACAGGAGATGACCAGAGACTGCAGACATAGTACAGGAGATGACCAGAGACTGCGGACAAAGTACAGGAGATGACCAGAGACTGCAGACATAGTACAGGAGATGACCAGAGACTGTACAGGAGAAGACCAGAGACTGCGGACACAGTACAGGAGATGACCAGAGACTGCGGACACAGTACAGGAGATGACCAGGGACTGCGGACACAGTGCAGGAGATGACCAGAGACTGCGGACACAGTGCAGGAGATGACCAGAGACTGCGGACACAGTGCAGGGAATGACCAGAGACTGCGGACAGTGCAGGGGATGACCAGAGACTGCGGACAGTGCAGGGAATGACCAGAGACTGCGGACAGTGCAGGGAATGACCAGAGACTGCGGACAGTACAGGGAATGACCAGAGACTGCAGACAGTACAGGGGATGACCAGAGACTGCGGACACAGTACAGGGAATGACCAGAGACTGCAGACAGTACAGGAGATGACCAGAGACTGCGGACAGTACAGGGGATGACCAGAGACTGCGGACAGTGCAGGGAATGACCAGAGACTGCAGACAGTGCAGGGAATGACCAGAGACTGCGGACAGTGCAGGGAATGACCAGAGACTGCAGACAGTGAAGGGGATGACCAGAGACTGCTGACCTTTGGGGAGGGAGGGGGAGCGGGTACCTGAATTTGACAGGTACCCGCTCCCACTTCCGCGGAGTTGCCTTCCCTCTTCTTCCCGGGCCGGCTTCTGTGACAGCCGGGTGCCCACTGCGCAGGTGCAAGAAACGCTTCGCTTTGTGAATGGCCCGGCGCCTTCTGTGACCTTTCATGTGTCCCAGAAGACACCGGATCATTCACAAAGCGCAGCACATGCGCAGTGGGCACCCGGCTGTCACAGAAGCCAGCGCGGGAAGACTGTGCAGCGCTGGAGCGAGGAACAGGTAAGGCCCTGCAGGAGAGAACAGCTGAGCGGCCGGCCCGGTATTCTGACATGGTGGCGGCAGAAATACCGGACCGGCCGCTTTACATTCGCTCCATAAGACGCACTGACATTTTCCCCCCTTTTTGGGGGGGAAAAAAGTGCGTCTTATGGTGCGAAAAAATACGGTAGCTACTAAAGTTACGAAAATTCTCATACAATAGAATACAACTTTGGAAGTGATGTAATGTACTGTATTGTAATGTATTCTTTTGATTCTGAACATGCGTGGTCTTGGTGTTCCAGTTTTTTTTTGGACGAATACTGTACTGATTAAACCAAAAAATGTTTGTTCTGGTATCGTACAAGAAAAATTTTGTCCCTTTGGATAATTTCACATGAACTGTCAACTCTCAAAAGCTGTGCAGTAACGATCAGATTATTGTACAATCACTTTGAAAGCAGTATTCTTCGTCAAATTTTCTCATCATGTGTACGAGGTTTAGGTGGGCTGAATGAGAGAAATCTAATAGATTCCCCCAACCACACTATTTAGGAATGTCTCTGATGGCTATTGTAGTCATACAGCCCGCACCTGTGTCTGTCTGAATACCTGGACAGTGATTGGATTTGACTGCGTGCAGCCACTGTTTGGCTGACAATTTTCCACCTGGCTCCTTTGTTTTTTTTAATCGAAGTTTGTCAAACCCGGTAATGCCAACAGGTGAACTGGTCAAAATACAAGTAATATAATGCAGAAGATAAGGTAGCCTTCATGTTGGGGTATGACTACAAATACATATACAGTATGTATTTCAGCTTCAATGGCATTGTTCACACAGTGTAGAAGCTGAAGCACTCCATGCTACCTAACATGGAAGTGGCTGATAGGTATTAGTGATTTCAATGCAGGAACAAAGAACTGCAGGTAAGAGCACTCTTCAACTCTTTTCATTCTTGGCTCATACTGAAAACCACATTTAAAACAGTTCTGGCACAATTGTCTCCTAATCTTTAATGTGTTTCATTTTTCAGGATATTAACTGCTTGCAGACTGCCCCAGGCAGATATACTGCTGCAGGGCGGCTGGATCATGTATCTGATATGTGATTCGGCTCTTCTCGGTAGGAGGTGCGCACCCGCCACCCCACCTGTGCTGTGATTCATTACATCACAAGCCAATCAGTGGGTTCCAGTCAATGCTTTATGATGGTTGTAAACAACTCAGAGCTCTGTCCTGACAGCAGTGATGTGCTGGTTTTTGTTTTCCTGCAAAGCAGGGAATAAAAACCGGCACATCCCTTAGTAAAATCAGCACACAGTAAACACTTAACACATTGTTAGCCACACAGTTATCCCTTTGATTGCCCATAGATGTTAACCCCTTCCCAGCCAGTGTCATTAGTAGAGTGTCAGTATGCTGTATATTATTAGCACTGATCACTGTATTAGTGTCACTAGATGTCAGTGGCAGTCAGTACCCACAAATTGTCATTTAGTGTCAGATTGCCCACCATATTATCACAGTCCTGCTATAAGCTTCTAATCACTGCCAAAATAAATAAATAAATAAATAAAAATTCCAGTAGACGCTATACTATATACTTTTATTATACTTATATTATATATTTATACTATATAATTTTCACACAAACCAATCAATATACACTTGTTGGGAATTTTTTTTATTTACCAAAAACATGTAGCAGATTGCATTTTGGCCAAAATTTATGAAGAAATTAGATTTTTCAAATTTTTTATTGGATGTCTTATAGCAGAAAGTAGAAAATATTTTTCATTTATATTGTAAAAAATAAAAAAACCCAGTGGTGATCAAAACCACCAAAATAAAGCTCTATTCGTGTGAAAAAATGATATAAAATTTGTTTATGTAGAGCATTGCATGACCGTGCAATCGCCAGCTAAAATAGCGCAGTGCCAAATTGCAAAAAATGGCCTGGTCATGAAGGGGTAAAATCTTCCAGAGCTCAAATGATTACTGACCAGGTTACAGCCATCAATTGCATAACAATTCCAAGAAGTCCATGTAGCGCCCTCCTCTAGTTAGGTTGCTAGGTTAAATTTAGTTTTTGGCTTCAATGTAGTGAACGGAGCAGTGATTGATTGTTTTTGTCTGTTTAGGGTTTCCTGAGCTAAGAATTTGATTTCTCCCACCAGCCTCTAAAAACGTTTCCAGAGTATATGGGAGAGAGTCAAATGACCAGTGCAAATATTTATCATGCCGCGGCCAATCCCAGGAAGGAGGTGTCCAGAAGGTGGCTGGGGAAGTGATAAATGTTTGGAAAGATTTACCAGAGTGTTCTTTTATCCCCAGGGAGGCTTCCAGTTTTTGTGGGACTGATGACCATATGACCATGGAGGCAGCTTTACTGAGGCATTGCTGTCATACCTCAGCTGCTGCTGGCCTGAGGACCTGGAGAAGACTGCCAATAGAATTTTGTTGGAGGGCACTGTACTGAAGTCCTGGGTCTGCAAAAGGATCTTGTTATCACCCTCACTGTGGATTTACCTGTGGATGCTGGGAGCAAAGACGTTACAGGGGACTGTTAGTTGTGCAAGTGTCTAAAAGGAACTAAGTCCCTGAAGTGGTTATATGGACTGCTGGTCTAGTGTCCTAGATATACTGGCCATTCCCTGTTATCTCCAGGTAGAGCTGCTATTAGAAGATTAGTGAGAAATTTTTCCTGCTGCTATTGAATGGTTTGGAGTATCCTGTGACCCTAAACCCCTCTCCTGTTAAAGTTCTTCAGCTATAAATACTAAAAAGACATCCCCAAGGCTGAGCCTGGATTGTCAGTGTGCATGGGACTGTGTATGTGTGACTGGCATCCTCTATACTACTGTGGGAGACCTGAGTATGTCCTCAGAGGAGGTGGGTAGCGGTACAGTCAGATAGATGACTCCCTCACCTGTGGGACGAGAGCAAGTAATTCTTCAGTTGGCCAGCATTTCTCACATAGATTAAAGTGCAGAAAAGTTAACTCCTGCCTTATAATACTAACAGAACTCTGTGAATGAAAGCCACGGCTGTGTGGGCAGAGCCCTGCATGGCTGCGCTGTTTTCAAATTGTGGCAGCGGGTGTGGAGAAAGGACCCCTTGCCTGCTGTTACAAAGAAGGGGAGGCTTGGTGGTATAGGAGAAAGTGAAAGTTGGTATTATGGCAGCCTCTGACTTTAGACTAGGCTGTATATTTAGATCAGTTCATTGTCTTGCAAATTAAAGTGTCAATATATCGAGGATTTAGGTGTATAGTTATTTCATAAAGAAAAAAAGGATCTAAAAACTGCATCAAAGTAGGACCTCGTGGCGCAACGGTAGCGCGTCTGACTCCAGATCAGAAGGTTGCGTGTTCAAATCACGTCGGGGTCAGCACCAAGTTTTTGTTAAGTGCCTTACACTAAACTGGTACTATTTGTACGTATAACAAAAAATTACTTTTGGATTACATCTGAAATCTTGGCTATATGCGTAATATATTTTTTTTGTTTAGTTCACTACTATGATATTTAGCCATTAAGTGACACCAGTGAATTGTAACCCAGCACATTCCATATTTAGATGTAAATTTACTGACAGCTGTATGAGATTCATCATAGACGATACACATAACTAACTGTGACAATTGTCTGCCGATTCTATTGCAGATAGTAGAGCAACACTTTTGTTCATAAGTATCCTTACAGTCTTGGTTCACACGAACTGCATGTCAATAGCACAGGAACTGCACCACATTTAACATTTTTTTAAAAATTATTATCAGTGTCAGTTAGTGACAATTTCAGTGTATTTTAGGTAGGATAAAAATAAGGCAAAATGCACAGTATTGTTTCTTGGCCTTACTACAGGTACAAACATACACATATGTGGTATCACTGCGATTGTCAGGAGCAGGAGAATTTATTTTGAGTTGTTCTTTGGTAGTATGTTTTGGTAGTAACAAGAAATATATGGCTAAATTTAAAAAATATACATTTATTTTACTATTTTGGGCCAGTTTTCCTTATAATATAAAAAAAAACAGGAGATATCCATTACCATTTATCACTAGATGAAAGCCCAATGTGCCCTGAAAAAAAACAAGGAATAATCCACCTGGATGCACAAAGTAGTTGTGATGATTTGTATGGTTTTACTAACACAGGTCAAAGTGGCAAAACTGTGCTGAGGTATTAACATTTGTTTTACCCTTAGAAGTAATGGGATTAAAGGATCTTTTTTTTCTCTGTGCAGGAAAGTGCTGTGTCTCAGCCAATGAGGAGTGAGAGACCCAGGAGAGCTGAGGCTCCTGTGCACAGCGCTGGATCGAGATTGAGCTCAGATAAGTATTAGGAGGGGCCGTGGGGGGAGCAGCACACAGAAGGTTAAAAAACCTTCAGCCTTACAACCACGTTAATGACTGAGTAACACACGGAATTCAGAGGTCAAGATTAAGTAACACACAGAAGTCAGGGGTCAGAAATAAGTAACTCACAGAGTACAAGGGTCAGGATTACTGTAAATCTTAATCCAGACTCCTGAACTCTGTGCGTTACTTAAA